AATTTTGAGCATAAGGATTTTAGAAAAAAGTATCGTCTTATAGTCGGAAAAATACGGTACCCATGACTTTTTAAAATGGGGGACAAAAATAACCATTTAAATAAAAATATTTTTAAATTATAATCATTAGTTTCTCTGACATATAAATACATTGATTATAAATCCTAATGGGATCTGATGGCATAATTCATCAATATCTGGAGAAATATATTAGCCATTTTTGATATTTGGTATAGGCTACAGTGAGTGTTAAAATCCACTTTCAGAAGATCCATAGGACTTTCAATGCATTTTTACTTAAAAGCTTGTACTCTTTGTGACTTTTCACTTATTTATTTATTTAGAAGATGTATATAGCTGCCCAACTCACATAATCATGACTCTGTACAGCATATATGAAATAAAAACTTCCAAATAATATTGCAAATAAAAACCATACAATGTTAACAAAACACAAAACCCATATCAACCACATAGAGCTGGGGCTCACCAATCATACACTCCATTTTTCAGAAGTCGGGCTCATTTATTATCCTGCCCCAGCACCCTAGGGAAAACTCAAATTTTTAAAGGTTTCCTGAAGGCCTACAGGGTCAGGGGGGGGGGGGATTTGTTTGAAAGGGCTCCACCGCATCAGAAAAGGCATACCTCCCAGGTCCCATCAGATAACTTCGCCTTAAGAAGGGGACCTGGAATATGCCCATCCTGTGAGAGCATGTGGGGTGGGCAGAAATAACCAGGCAGTCCCATAAACAACCCAGTCCTGTGCCATGTTGGGCTTTGTAATTGATACCCAGCATCTTGAATTGCATCTCAACGCATACTGGAAGCCGGTGCATCCTAAGCTTTCTAGCGATTCCTCCCCACTCCAATTCTTCCAATGTAATGTCCCCTCTTCATTCAGGAATAGGTACTTGTTGGCTAGAACTACTGAATGGATCCAAGCTCGTAAATGACCTTTTCTTGAATCTTGGTTTAAAGGAAACTATCTTGCAAATTGGATTGGCAGCATTTTCAAACATGAGTGATAATCAGTTTAAATGGAGAAATACTTTATTATTTTATTATTCTTTGTATGTAAGTTCCGTTAAGGCAGTGAACATATTGAAACAACTGTTTTCAATTATTTTCAGTAGCTTAAAGGCAAAAGGGGAGCAGCTTGCAAAGTACCTTCAAGTTTTTCAGGAAAGACAGGAGCTCCACATGCTTTAAACCGTGAAAAATAAATGCTAGGGATGAGTGCTGCATCCTTCCTCTGCCTCTGCCTGCTTTTTCTAAATCCATCTTACCAATTTTTCACTTAACTCAAAGTTACTAAGGCTGTTAGTAAATCCACAGGGAAAAAAGTCATTCCCACATAGTAGAATAAAAGCACTACACCCAGTGCTTGGAATTTATTCTGCCTTATTCTGATTCCTGTAACCCAGTATTGACTCAGGGTTTTCGCTGCTATCTGGAGATACAAGAGAATGAAACTAGGATTTCCTGCATGCAAAGCACATATGCTACTATTAATAGATTGCATTCTCAACAGACTCAAAGATCAGATTCCTGAACTCTACCCATAATATGTAAGTAAAAAAAATTCTGTAAGAAAGGACACTGCTAAAACTTAATACAACTGCTAGTTCTAGTTTTAGTGTACCTATAACAAAGATACCTTTAGCTGACTCCCTTCTCCAATCACCCTCTTCACCAGTCTGTTTACTTGCCCATTTCCTCTAGTCCAAATCTGCACAGGGAACATTTTCTGAATATAGGTAGTTACAACCATCAGATCAGCTCTCTTATAAACTTCTTTGGGTCTATAATCCAGCTAATAAATCCTAGAACAAACTAATTTGACCATCAATAAATGATAAGCAATTCATCACTTTTATAATGCCCATAAACCTAAAAGTTGTTTGGGACTAATTTTGTAACATATGAAAGTTTCCTTATGAAATCTTGAGAGGCATCATCTTTCTGTTGTAACTATGGAAAGCCAAATAAATAAATATATTGATTTGCTCATTTTTTTATTCAGACCACCTGAATTCTAACCAAGCCACCTTTCTTAGTCTTTTCTGAAAAATGAATCACCCTAAAAACATCAGTGGTGACTAGTGTTCTTTCCTATGACTAAAAGGAGAAGATTAATAGTCATCTAGAGCAGGATCCATGGGAGAAGGATGAAGACACAGCTGCAAGGCGGTTTTTCTCCATATAAAGACTGATCCTGCAAGGATCCTGTTCCAGATGTGGTCCCCTTCATCTCCCGAAGACACCCCCCCCCCTTGGGTTAGAGCAATAATAGTACATTAACTGGGCAGGTTTGGTTCTATTTTGTTTCAGCTCAGAAATAACTACTAGTGGGCAGCCATTGGCTAAAAAAACCCAATCTTTCAGTGGAGAAATATTATTAGACTTACAGCAACCAAAACTGTATATCTTGTGCTTCTGTTAATTAACTTTGGCTTGACAAAGGAATGTTTCAGGTGTTAATTAGGGCAAGTGCATTTAAGTAAGGTTTTCTGCAATCTTTAGCAGCCTCAGCAATATTGCTCAAACCATTTTCTCTCCATCCTTATGTTATATTAGGCAGGAATTACATTCTTTTTCAGTGAAAACAAAAGGTTAGTTATTCAAGGAAAATTAGAAGCTGAAATCAAAACCTACCACATACCCATTGCCAAAAAGAAAAAAGGCACCCCCCCCCCCAATATATCTAGGTGAAAAACATCCTGTGGGATATTTTCATATGGGGGCTCAGATGTACATTTAGAAAGTATTATTTACTAAAATTTAAATAAAAATATCAGAGGCATGGGGGGGCTGACAAGTTCTACCCATTTTATACATGAGCCAGGATTAAAGGAGGTGGTGCTTAGGTCATAGTGG